AAGTAAAATAAAATAGGGAAGCAATTTCTGTGGAAATTGTCTGGATTCATATTCTGATTCTAGCACTTACTAGCTGGGGACCTTCTGAAATCCCAACTGCCAGTGGGATGACATTAGGAGATGGGGCCTTTGGGGGGTAATTAAGTATGGAGGGTGGATCCCTCATGAATAGGGTTGGGGTCCCTATAAAAGGGACCCAGATAGCTCTCTCACCCACTGTGTGCCATGGAAGAACACAATGAGAAGTCAGCAGGCTGTATCTGCAAGGAGCCCTACAAGAATGCAGTCATCCTGGCACTCTGATTTTGGGTTTCCAGGCCCTAGAACTGTAAGAAATAAGTGCCTGCCCTGGTAAGCCACCAAATCTGTGGTACCTTGTTACTGCAGCCCGAACTAAATCAGCAGCCTGGGCAAGTTGCTTTACCTCTGTGTGTTCCAGATTGTTCATATCACAAATAGAAAATCAACTATACATTATTTCAAGGGTTAAATGAAGTATATATAAATAATTGTTAAAATATTCAAATACATAGAAAGTATAATAATGAACTATAATATATAATAATGATTAATAATTATTATTTTCCCTCAAGAAATGTTTTCCCCAAAAAAATGCTTAAGACTCATTTCTAAATAAATCAAAAAAATCTTCTGGTGAACACTAAGACATTTGGAAGAGATTTTGGAATCTCAGCATAAAACCTTTGACATTCCAGCATTGAAAGAACCATAGCCTATAAAAAGTTCCCTGCCTGCTCGTCACAGTGCACCCTAAATTAAAGTCTGACATTTTGCAAACCTGGCCCTGCACTGCTTCACACAAGCACCCTGTGGGAATTTCTCCTTAGGGCAGAAGCCTTTGTGGAGACCGCCTCATACAAGAGCAGAGATGTGTAAAACTGCCCTGCTGTGTCATCTACACAGTTCTTCCTTACATGTGGACAGGTAAGCACAGCTCATCAGACAGGAAAATCAGAAACACTTACCAACAAAAAGATAAAGAAAAATATGAACACTGTACTAAACAGATGATACTAGAAATAAAAGGAACTTTGAAAATGCCAAGCAATACTATGGAAAAGGCATAATCAAGTCACAAAAACATTCTTAGGTATTTAAATACACTTCCAAAATTAATAATTTGTTAGAAATACTAAAAAATAATATGAGACTTGTCAGAATGTAGAGGAAAAGACAGAGATGTATGATAAAACAAATATAAGACACATGGAGATACAATTCTGAATTGTCAATATCTGACAAGCTCAAGACTCAGAACAGGAAGGTAAAGCTAAGGATACAACTAAAAATCATTTTATTTGAAAGGGATGGAGAGAGGGAGGGATGGAGGGTGGGGGGAGAGAGAGGAGAGAGAGAGAGAGAGAGAGGAGAGAGGAGAGAGGAGAGAGGAGAGAGGAGAGAGGAGAGAGGAGAGAGGAGAGGAGAGGAGAGGAGAGAGTCTGCTATATACTAGTTCACTACTCAAATGCCCACAAAAAGCCAGGATTAGGCTAGGAGCCAGAAATTCCATCAAGGTCTCCCATGTGGGTATCATGATCCAAAGAATTTGAGCCAACACCTGCTGCCTCCCATGGTGCCCATTAACAGGAAGCCAGAATCAGGAGTAGAGCTGGGACTCAAACCCAGACACTAACATGGGAAGCAGGCGTCCTAGGTGACATGTTAAGTACTGCCAACCTAAATGGCATCTTAACCAAATGCCAACTCCAGAGATACAATTATGTAGGAAATAATGGTGGGAACAATTCCAGAGGTGAAAGGTATGAATTATTAGAACAACAGTACACTCAGTTTCTGGCAAAATGAATTTTAAAAAGATCAAGATATTATGAAATTTAAGTCACCTCGAAGAAAGAGAAAATTCTGAAATCTGAGAGAGAAAGGGGAAGGCATACATATTTTATCAGTTTCTGAAATGGATCTATAGGCAACACAAGGAATTCTTAGCTATGGCTGCAGAACTGTAAAATGTCATCAAAATTTGGCCATTCAAACATAATTTAATTGAGAGAGGTTGGAAGGTTTAAAGGAAAAGCAGATATAAAGGTTATTCTTTTCATTCATACAAAAAATTAAGTGAAACTCTTATTAATTGAACAGTAATCACAGGTTCGTTTGACTATGGAACTACCCAAGAATAGTGATAAAGCTGGGTGTGAAGAATGAATGACCGCAGTTATTTTAAGTGAGGTGGGTACTCAGTAATCCTAAGAGGAATTGGTGCAAAGTTTATGGAAGAAAAAATACTACATTCGTTTTATAGGGCTGCCATCCCAAACAGCACAGAACAGGAGGCTTAACCAGCAGGGATTTGTTTCCTAGGGCTCTGGGGGCTGGAGGTCTCAGTAGGGTGCTGGCGGGGTCCCCTGCTCTGAGGCCTCTGTCCTTGCCTGACGCATCACCACCTTCCTCTGGTGTCTGCACATGATCACTGCTGTGTGTGTGCCCATATCCTCCCACGATCCCTCTTCCTCACCTCCACTCCCACTCTCCTCTTTTTGTAAGTAATATTCGATTAAGATCCACTGCAACTACTTTCATTTTAATGTAGTTCTCTCTTTAAAGTTCCTGTCTCTGAGGTAGTAGAGGTTAGAGCATCAACATATTAACCTAGTTAGCACAATTCAGTCTTTGTTAACAACATATTCCTTAGTGATAAGGAAGTAAATAAAAAAAAGGGCTTTTATAAAGGTTTAAAAGTGATTTCCAATGAGATAAAATGAAAAAAAGAGACAGTATCATATGCTGGCAAATGTGTGGAGGAACTTGTACATCCAGTAACTGATGCAGTGGTGTGAGTACAACCATTTTGGAAAATTATTTCAAAATATCATCAAAAGTGAACATGTACTGTATTTATTAAATAAGCAGCGATCGCCCCTGTAGATATATACCCAACAGAACCACATATCCACCTCCTGCCAAAGGATGTACAAGAATGTTCATAGGAGAATCATTTGTGACACCAAACCTTGCACCTACCCTAATATGCCTCTAGGCCGGCGCCGCGGCTCAATAGGCTAATCCTCCGCCCTGCGGCGCCGGCACACCGGGTTCTAGTCCCGGTCGGGGCGCCGGATTCTGTCCCGGTTGCCCCTCTTCCAGGCCAGCCCTCTGCTGTGGCCAGGGAGTGCAGTGGAGGATGGCCCAGGTGCTTGGGCCCTGCACCCCATGGGAGACCAGGAAAAGCACCTGGCTCCTGGCTCCTGCCATCGGATCAGCGCGGTGCGCCGGCTGCAGCGCGCCGGCCGCGGCGGCCATTGGAGGGTGAACCAACGGCAAAGGAAGACCTTTCTCTCTGTCTCTCTCTCTCACTGTCCACTCTGCCTGTCAAACTCTGCCTGTCAAAAATTTATAAAAAAAAAACAAAAGTAAAAAAAGAATGTTCATAGGAGAATCATTTGTGACACCAAACCTTGCACCTACCCTAATATGCCTCTAAAGGATAATAAATTGTAGCACACTCATGCAGTGGCAACTATACAGCAACAAGAATGAAGGAACTAAAAAGAAAAACTATTATAGATACACTTGATCAACATAGTGTTGAATGAAAGAAGCTGATGCAGAGTGGTCCTTACTCTATTATTCCATTTATGTAAATTCAAAAGATGCAAACTAAACTGTGATATTGAAAGTCGGTATAGGGGCCGGAGCTGTGGTGCAGTGGGTTAACACCCTGGCCTGAAGTGCCGGTATCCCATATGGGCGCTGGTTCAAGACCCGGCTGCTCCACTTCTGATCCATCTCTCTGCTATGGCCTGGGAAAGCAGTGGAAGATGGCCCAAGTCCTTGGCCCTCACATCTGCATGGGAGACCCAGAGGAAGCTCCTGGCTCCTGGCTTTGGATCTGCACAGCTCCAGCTGTTGCAGCCAATTGGGGAGTGAACTAGTGGATGGAAGACCTCTCTCTCTCTTTCTGCCTCTCCTCTCTCTGTGTAACACCGACTTTCAAACAAATAAATAAATCTTTTTTTAAAAAAGAAAGCATAATTGACAACTTGGGATGGTACTGATTGCAGAGTAAGAGTAACTTGTGTGGCAACAGGAGCACTCATAATGTTTCTTTTCCTCATCAGTCTACTGCCACCAGGCATGTTTATTTTGTGAAAGCATAGTATACTGTACATTAAGGATTTATTCACCTTTCTGCATATATGCCATAATTCAATTTAAAAATAGTTTGGGGGCCAGTGTTGTGGCACAGTGCGTTAAGCCTCTGCCTGAGAAGCTGCCATCCCATATGAGCACCAGTTCAAGTCCCAGCCTCTCCACTTCCAATCCAGCTCCCTGCAAATGCTCCTGGGAAAGTAGCAGACTCCTGTCATCCACATGAGATTCTCAGATAGAGTTTCAGGCTCCTGGTTTCAGCCTGGCCTATCCCTAGCCAATGTGACCATTGGAGAGTGAACTACCAGATGGAAGATCTTTCACTCTCTTTCTGCTACTCTTTCAAACAACAAATTAAAGATACAGAAATAAAGTAGATGATACTGAGCCTTTTTATTTGTTACTATTTATTTATCTATTTATTTATTTCAAAAGCAAGGTGGGTGTGCTCCAACCACTGGTTCAATTCCCAAATGCTTATGACAGCCAGGGTTGGGCCAGGTGGAAGCCAGAAACCAGGAACTCAATCTAGGTCTCCCATGTGTCAAGGACTCAATAACCTGAACCGTGACTACTGCACCAGCACCAGCACCACTACCAACCCCACTGGGGGGCGGGGAGCACTACCAGGAAGCTGGAAATAGGAGCTGAGCCAGGCAGGACTGGAACCCAGGCTTTCTGATTTGACATGCAGGCAGCCTGGCTGCAATATTACTGCTGCCAAACTTATGCTCTTTTTATCCTTTATTCTCACCTACTTGATTTGTTACCATATGTATGTATTCCTATCAAAAAATGATGTGAAATTTTTTTTCAGTTAGCACCAAATACAAATAGAGTAAGATGAATCAGAATGGGTACACTCTGTAGAAAATATAATTAATGTTTGACTTTATTAAGACAGACAGTTCATCAGATTAAAGACCAAGGAAGAGGAAATCTACAGCATGCAAGGGTGTGGAACTTCAATATGTAAATATATGCAAGGAAGTAGAAAGGAATTTTCCAAAATAGGAGAAGATAAACAGATAGATCAATTACAGAGGGGAAAACAAAGCTACACTTGAAAGTGGATTTTTTTTTCAGTGACATTCTCAACTCCTATGTCTGCGCAAGTAGGGATAAAGGGCAGAAAACTTGCTTCATAATCAGTTATCTAAGAGAATAAAAAGCTATTCCGGGAGGCAGAGTTTTCTCCTATTTGTTCTCCAGCGATCTGGGGAGAGAGATTGGGATAAATCGGTTTCATGAACTTGAACTCCCCGGTCCCAGCGTCGCCCGTCAGGCGCACCTCGTACTGGTAGCTGTGCGACAGCGTCCCGCCGCCGCTCACGTCCAGCAGCGGCCCTGGGAAGCGGCCCTCCGGCATCCGGGTCGTCGCCGGCCGCCTGCGGCGGAGGCCGCAGAAAATGAGCCACCAAGTCGAGACTTTGTGACTCAGACTAACTTACATAAGGCTCCGTTTCGAATTATCTAGAATCACAAGGAGACAGATTCGAGAAATCGACTTTCGTTCTGCATAAGTTAGGCAAAGAGTAGACCGATACAGATATGACATTCTTATGCTGAAAATCTACTAGTTCGGGTAACGTGGATTCCTACCTGC